AACTTTTTCAACTAAATAAACATCTGGATTGGCTGTTTTCTGTAATTCTTCGTCATAAAAGGCTCCTTTGATCGGTGCACCTTGCATATCTTCGAGCATGTACGTTGCAGGGTTGGTAATATTAATTTTAGTAACTTTAAATAATTCCGTTGTCCAGCTTGGAACGTATCCCTTGTCGAATAGCATTTTGGTTTTGCTGATGCGTACAATGTCACCAACTTTAAACTTACGCGGGCCCGCGATTTTTAAATGAGTATATTTTCGATTTAAGATACATTTTTCGTTGGATTTATTAATTTGTGATGGTTTACATCCGATGGTTTGATGACGTGTTCCATTGTATTCATTGGTAATGCTTTGTAATATATCAATCCATTTATACGATCCCATTAAGCTAAAGTATTTGTAAAGTTTATTTTTCAACGTCCTTATGGCTCTTTCAGCAATGGCCGCTTTCTTGATGCTATATGTACTATAATGATTAATATCATGCTTCTTCATTAAAGTTTGAAATTTACTATTGTAAAATTCTTTACCTTGATCAGATTGTAGATTTTTCGGCGTACGTTCCGTATGTGCGAGGATATCCGAAAACGCACGAGTTATCTCCTCACCCGTCTTTGTCTTTAACGGTCTAGTCCACATAAACTTGGAAAAAGAATCGATTACGACGAGAATTAATTTGAAATTTTTATTTTGATGAGCATAAGGTCGCATTTCAGCCAAGTCCGTCTGCCATAAATCGTCTAAGCCTTTAATGATGGTACGTCGTCTTAGATAATTTTTTCGAGCAGGCTTGTGCAGCTCGTTAACTAGTTGTAGCTTCTCCTTGGCGTACGTCATCATGTTTTAACGCTTTAAATTGTTGTTCCATCGGCTTTATACGCTTAGCAAGATCGAATGTTTTCAATGATATATATGATGTGCGTCCTTGCAAAAGTTGTAATTCATTCAATGATATTTTTCCTTATTGGAGTCAAATCGGTATGAGACTTAATTGTAGCCAACTCCTGTTCTATTCTTGTTGTTATATTTGCAATAGAGTCATCTACATATTTTTTTGTTGCCATATGTTTACCAGAAGTAGGCGGATTTCTCGAAATAAACTCTGTTATTTGATCTGTTTTTGCTGTTATTTTTTTTAAATCAATCACTGAAGTATCTACGTATTTTTTAGTTGCCGCATCTGAATTATCTGTGGGATCTTTTATATTACACAACTTTACGTTCTTGAAGTCAACATTTCCATCAGAAGTATGGGGTAGTGTTAACTTTGGCGGTGTACGCATATACGGAAGTGTCTTTTGTTTATCAAAGCGACGTCCGAATTTATCAAGACTCATCGTGTAAATGAAAGACCAAGGAACTAGATTACTGTATTATATTAGCTTCTTTTAGCTCGTTGAGGATGGCTACTATTTCATTATCATGCGACGTATTGCCAGCTTCCTGAGATGCCATAAGGAGTTTAAGTCGATCGATTAATTCATTGGGATCATCCCAGTACACGTATTCGATTGGTTCCTCGTTGTATGTCAAGTAATCACCGATACCTTTTCCTGTTGGCGGTTTTGATGTTGATGATGTTGTTGTTGTTGTTGTTGTTGAGGGAGTGGATCTTGTTAATGATCGACTAAGTGGACTACGTATTTTTGTAGATGTTGATCGTGTGACAATTGTACCTTTATTTTTCTGCACATCTTTAAAGAGAGGCTTAATAATGTGATTATATTTAAATCCTGTCGAACCTTTTAGGCGTCCAAGCGAATCTAAATGAACACCGGTACTTTGCAATAGATTTTTATAGGGTTGTAAATCTGCATCTGCATAGTTTGGGTCATTATAGAATAAAAGTTGATACAGCCCAGGTGTGCCACGAAACCATGTACCTGCTAAGTTTGTCCCCTCAGGTAATATCTGTATTTGGCCAGTCGCTCTATCAAATTTAATTCGGCGTTTACCTAACATCCAACCAATGTTGTCGGTATATATAGGTCCATAATTTTTATCAATTTTATCGTTTTGTGTCCAAAATCTTGTAAATAATTATGGCTTATTGGGGGATATTGATCTAAGTATTCTTCTATTGCTTCTTGTGAAAAATCAGCAGGACGCATTTCTTCAGGTAGTGGTGGTGTTTCAGGTCTCGGCGGTATATTACCTTGTTCATCAGTTGAAGCCACGTCTTCTAAATTGAGATAGTTTGGGTTCTGTGTGAATACATCATCATCATCATCATCATCATCCTGTTTCAATTTTTCCTCTTTTTTAATAATAAATGAAGGATGCTGCTGAGTCTTAGCTATTTGCTTAAGAGGTTCAGATATTGGTTTGAAAAGTTTTCTAATAGATTCATCTTCTGCAGTTCGACCTAACTTTAAAGTAAGATACTTTTTACGTATAGCTCGAGCAAGTTCTGCGATCTTTCTTTTATGACTAGCAACGGCAACTTGGTCCTTTGACATCATGTTACTGAATGATGGCGTACATGATAAGCCTACAATTTTATGTACTTATCAAATCCTACTCTGTATCGACCATAATTAAGAGGAAAGTCTTTAACAATAACTAACGTACCGTACTTTTCTGCCCAACATTCCGAACACATCTTTTTGAATTCATCAAAAGTAACATCTGGAGATACATGCTCATCAAATATATGTTTTAGATTAATTTCATCCTGCTTAAATAGTACTATAATGTTACAGTTGTCTCGTATGAGCTGTTTTGGAATTTTAGAGTATGTTTGGCAGAGATATGCAGCATCGATATCTTTATGACGACACATGGAGTAATACTCTCGAATTTTCTGCTGACCGTCACACGACACGTCGTCAAATATAAATATAGAGCTATTTTTAGCCTTACTTGGACTTATAATTTCCTCGTTATCCTTAAATGGGAAATAGCCAACACCCTTAGCAGCGGAAATCACTTCTTGAAGCAGTTGATACTTTGGTTGATACAACGATTTTGAATAAACGTAAACATTTTTAAACTTAGCACCGTTTGGATGGAAAAGCAGCGCCAGCATTACGTTCGTTTTTCCACATCCGCTTGGTCCGCAGATGATAGCGCGAAACGAATTCGGTAACAATTTACCATGTTTACTATGTTGAGTTTTTGCTGTAAAATCCAAGTTATCAATGGGTAATGACTGCTCTTGTTGAACAACCTTCATCGTGTGGCGTTCGAATAAGGAATGTGTAAAAGTATATATGTAGATATTGCTAACGCATCATCAACAGTTCTCATGTTAACGTACAAGGGTGAAGTGTTTGTAAACTCTCTGATAAATAATCTTCCGATTAGAACTCCACGTACCTTCGTATCAGTTCCTGGGACGTAAGTGTGGCGACAGATTAGGATATTTTTTTTTCATTCTCACACATGTATATGTATATTTTCAGCGGGGGACTAAATTAAAGAAGAGGTTAGCACGAGGAGATCCTGGAAAGAACCCATTGGATCGTGCTGCAAGAGACCACGATATTGCATACGCCTTATACAAAATTGAAAGACAGCACAAAGCTGATTGGATTCTTGAGAACCGAGCCTGGGAACGTGTAAAAGCACCTGACGCTTCACTAGGAGAAAAGACTGCAGCTTGGCTAACAACTACCGCAATGAAAGTTAAGCGAAAATTGGGTATGGGGCAGAAGAAAATCATCTTTTCGACGAGGTGTTCTCACGAAAATCACAAAGTCCTTGAAGAAAAATGCTCCCACCACCACGACATTAAAAAGTCTGCATTGGTTGCTCTTAAAGCGGCAAGATTAGCGGTGAAGAGTGCAGGTGGAAAACATAAAGTTCGACTACCGAGAATAATTCCGATCGAAGGAAAATCTGGGGATTCCTACCCTTGATCCCCCTTTTCGCCGGATTAAGTGCCTTGGGGGCGCTCGTAGGGGAGCTGCAGGTGTGGCCAAAACGGTCGTTGATGCCAAGAATGCACAAAAGAAATTGGAGGAAGACCATCGCCATAACAAAGCTATGGAGTCTTTGGGCAAAGGATTGTATTTGAGAAAAAATGCTAAAGGTGGTTATGGGTTGTACCTCAAAAAAAAAGTCAAAAAAACTAAACATCAAGCTACCCAAGAAAGCGCTTTATGATTATGAAATAAAGCAATATGCGAAGCTCTTGAACATACCTCATTTCCGAGGTGTCTTCATGCGTGACACTTTACCACGAGACGGTCCACGTAAAAGAGAATGCGCCGTCGTGAACTTAGATATTTCACAAAACAACGGAACTCATTGGGTAGCTTATAAAAAGATAAAAAAACAACGTTGAGTAGTTCGATCATTGGT